TTACTAAAGTCTTTTCCAGTCTTCAATTATTTTTAATAAAGCTGTTTGACATCCGTATCCTTTTCGAAAAGCTGACAGAAAAATGTGGAAAAAATGAGTTAAAATATTCAACAAGTTGAGTTTCTATAGACTTCTCAAAAATATTTGAAATCAGGGGTAATATACTTACAGGTCTATAGTTTCCTTTATCTAGAGTGTTTGATTTTTCATGCAGAGGTATAACTTGTGCTTCCTTTAATTTATCTGGGAAAACAGCTGATTCAAATGATTTATTTATTAATTTAGAAATTGGATAGGATAATTCAGATTCAGAGAGTTTTAATACTTTTGAAGAAATTCCAGCTTTTCCTGTGGCCTTTTTATACGGTCGTATATTGGTATCATGTCGTCGTCATCGGTGTCAGCGTCGTCCAAACACATTTGGTTTCCGGACAATAACTTTAGTATAAGTAAATAGAAATCTATGAAATTTAAACACAAAGTTTAGTACCACAAAAGGAAGGTTGGGATAGATTTTGGGGGTTATGGTCCCAACAGATTAGGAATAAGGGGCCAAAAAGGGGCCCAATAAGCATTTTTCTAGTTTCCAGACAATAACTTGTGGAACAGTGTATGGATCTATCTGAAACTATACCACAAGTTTCCATACCACAAAGGGATGGTTAGGATTGGCTTTGGGGGGTTATGGCTCAAACCGTTTAGGAATTAGGGGCAAAAAAGGGGGGAAAAAACAAGGGTTTCCTGGTTAATGGACAATTACTTAAGTATTGGTCTTTGGATCTCTATGGAATAGATATTGGACCATTAAGCATTATATAAGGGATAGCATTCGATTTATTCATGATATTATACAGTATATAGAAGAGAACAATATTTTGGGATTTTGATTTTGAGAAAGATTTGATTCTTTATGTTGGGACTTTTTGCTATAAGTATTACAATTTTTCATGCTATTAGTACTACAATTTTTTCATATGTATTTGGTTGTTGGGCCCATTTTATAATTGGCCCAAATTTTGGTCCTAAGGCTATAAAATTTGTTTTGTTTGATTTAATAAATGTATCAAATAAAATTTAAAAGATAATAATTACAATGTTATATTTGAATTACCTCCCTTACATTGCTTTTAAATTATGTAAAGTTGTCAGCTAGTTCTAGTATGAATTATTTTTTTGCTGTTTCTAGAAACATCAAATACTGTGATGGAAGTATATATAATATAACAATAGTGTATATCAAAGGGTTCAGTGGTAATAAATTTTCATATTCAGAATTATTTATTTGTGATCAATATCATCTGTTTGGGTTTTTTTAGCATTAAGAGTTACCTCCCTCAAAATGGTTTTGTTATAAAGAAATGTTGCATTGTCTTGAGGTGATTAGCTGTCAATTTATTTTTAGAATTTACTATTAAATGCGGATGAAGGTATATTAATATTAGCCATGATTATGTATGTCATTTTCTATTTCAATACTTTTATGATGTATTTAAATGGGTTTTTATGGTTGCAAATTCTATTGGAAATTTGAATTGAGATTATGACCATATCTTGAGGGAAAGAATTTTTTTTGGAAAAAGGGGGCAGGGGAGGTTAAAAAAAAAAAAAATTGGGGGGGGGGGGGGAAATATTGTAGGGGGATGGGGACAATTTTTTATCAAGATTTCAGAAATTAAAAAGAAAATTTCTTCAAATATTTTTTTTTTTTGACAAAAAAAAAAGGGGGGGGGGGTCAATTTTTCTTCAAGATTTAAAAAATTGTCAATTTTCCAATTATAAAAGTCACCTGATAAAAATTGTGTGTCACAACTGCTAATTCTTTGTATATCGTCTGAAAACAGATTTACAAAGTATTGTGCAACAGCACAGTGTATTGCACAAAAGCAAAAAATTGAATATATTATTCTGTGTCAAATATTTAATTACAATCCAAATTCAGAACTGTATAAAGCGTGAATATTGTGTCCATTTTTGCCCCAACTGTTCATTGTTGGACCTCTGCGGTTGTATCCAGCTGCGCTTGGCGAGATAATTTATTAATATTAATTTTATTGATTTGTTTTTTTACAAACTCAGGATTTACTGGGCTAAAACATAGTTCTTCTTTTTCTGGTTTGTTTTCTTTAATTACTTTAATGCTTGGATGACCCAAATGAATAGAAACAAGTGCCTGTGGTCTCTAAGTTTCTATCCATTTGGAGGTTGACTAGAGACTTAACTAACATTAACAACTCGTAGTTTTATAATTTTCCGTTAGCAACATAGCTAAAATATACTTAAATATACACAAAACGGTCACATTATCTATAAACACCAACAATCATCAGCTTGCTTTATGCCAAATTATGGTTTATTGTATATTCAAATATTGAAGTATCCAGTGAAAAAAAGTAAAATTTACGGACACTTTGCATGTGACGTCCTTTAATAAACTAGAGCAATATTTTAAAACATATCACAGTGATTGTATTTCTTACAAAAGTCATATTTAATTAAGCTTGTTTTTTTGTTAAATTGTTCATAAAATGTAGACAGAGAGTGAGAGACATATATATATATATATATGTGTATATATGTCTCTGATCTAGAGAAATAACAAAAACTCAACATATTGTCAAAATATTAAAACTGTATAATAAAGAACAGGATATTGACTGGGACTATTATACTAACTGTTACTATAATATAATAGTCCCAGGTTAGTATAATAGTCCCAGTTATTATACCTCAGTTATTATTTTCTATATAAGATAAGTACACAATATTTTCACTATTTTTCAAACTGCAAGCGTTGAACTATTTGACTGGTCAATAGTTTCCAACTATTTGCCCTCAATGAAACTATTTGGCCGCAAGCGTCATTATATTTGGCGGAATTTCAACTGCAGCTATGGGATTGGCAAAGGTGTTTTTAACAATTCATTCGGGACTATTGGAATTCATCTCAATTATTTAATTAATGTCGATTCCTGAGTCGTTCGAACATACACACATATTTGAAAAAAATGAAGCTTTAAACTTACAAATTGCCCGCTTGTTATTGGAATGTATATATACAATTGGATAATTGTCATCACTATGTGTCCGTTGTCTCTTACAAATGTAACTAGAGGCTCTAAAGAGCCTGTGTCGCTCACCTTGGTCTATGTGCATATTAAACAAAGGACACTCTCCAACATTGTAGACGAGAATAGACTTCATGACAAAAATCTCTATTTTGTTGATCTTGTATTACTAATCTTTTAGTCTGATTAGTCTCTCTCTATCATTTTTAGTTTTTGCTAATACAAAAGAGGGTTAAAAACACAAAAGAGGTTTAAAAAAATCCTCATTTAAGGTCAATCACTCCTATGAAGAGTGACAGTCTACTAACTATATCGGCAACATTTGACTTTTTAATAGATCTTGCCTTGCTGATAATTTTTGTGATTTAAAGTGTTTATTTATCTATTACAATTTAAATCATATAAGGCATAACGGAAAAAAAATGTTTCTCTTTAAATATCATAGTTTTTATGAAAGTAGGCAAAAATGAAAAAAAAAGGTAAAATTTGTCATTTATCGGCAATAACTATAAGAATTTGTCTGACAGTTTTGACGTATATGGACAATTGGTAGAGCTCATTATTCTGAACATTTTTGCTCCTTTCAGATTTTTCTCTATTTATAACGGTTCAAAAAACTTGCATTTTACCACTTTGTTCTATTTTTAGCCATGTTGACCATCTTGGTTGGTAGGCGGGGTTATCAGACAAATTTTTTAAACTAGATACCCTAATGATGATTGTGGCCAAGTTTGGTTAAATTTGTCTCAGTAGTTTCAGAGGAGAAGATTTTGTATAAGATTACAAAAAACTTACAAAAAATTGTTAAAAAGTGACTATTAAGGGCAATAACTCCTCATGGGGTCAATTGACCATTTTGGTCATGTTGACTTATTTGTATCATGTTTTCTAACTTAAAAAAATCTTCTTCTCTGAAACTACTGAACCAATTCCAACCAATCTTAAGCTGAATGATTCTAAGGGTATCTAGAATAAAGTTTGTGTTTTATTTTTTGTTTTGTATAAAAACATGGCCGCCATGGCTAAAAATAGAACGTAGGGGTAAAATGCAATTTTTGGCTTATATCTCGAAAACCAAAGCATTTAGAGCTAATCTGATGCGAGGTAAAAATGTTTATTAGGCCAAGCCCCGTCAGCCCTGAAATTTTCAGATGAATCTAACAACCCATTGTTGGATTGCTGCCACTTAATTGGTAATTTTAAGGAAATTTTGTAGATTTTGGTTATCTTGAATATCATGAATATTATTACCGTAATGATAAAGATAAACTGTAAACAGCAAAAATGTTCAGCAAAGTAAGATCTACAAATTTAATCTTTTTAATGGTGACTTTTACTGAAATGGCAATTCTTTTTAAGATGCAGGTGAGTGACATTGGGCTCTTAAGAGCCTTTAGTTTTTCAATTTATCAAAATTTTACATATTTCATGCCATGCAAAGGATAAAATTTTTGGCAGCATTAATCCAGTTCATTAACAAACCACTTTGACAGTTTGTTTTCTTAAGAACCATATGATCATTATTTCATTGTATTAAATTTTTTAGAACAAAGTAAGAATAAACATTGAAGAAAATACAAAAATTGTTTTAAAACATTAGTCCTGTTAATCAAAGAAGACTTTATTATGTCTGTGCCATTTTTTATTGGTGGAGGAAGCAAGAGTCACTAAGAGAAACCAAAAACCTTTGGCAGAAAAATACGACCTAGAAACTGTAGGAGTTGGGGGAAGCTTTCAAAGCCCCCTCCAAAAAATGAGATAAAAGAATATTAATAATCCTGATGTAATTAAAAAAAGTTCTATGCCACTCGAGGAAATACAATGTTTTAACCGGGTTTCCAAAGGATAGATTTGGTTAATAAAATGGTGCATTCTGTGGGTGATGACAAAATGGAGGTCAATTTTGATATTGATAATTTTCACCTTTTTTTTCAGACAGATGATCCTTGATTGTTTGGAAAATAGGCACAGAGCATGGTAGGTCGAACAAGTTGAAAGCACCATGAATAAGAATACATCAATTTCATTGATACTAGCATCCCTCTTTAAGTTCAGCAATGAGTACCTTCAAAATGCAGGAAACTCTGTTCACTGTCAATTTGACATCTTATAAAATTGATTGTTTAAATTTTTAAGTGACAAACATGACAAATGAAAAGGTTGAAGTTACAATTTCAAAAGATGTCATTGGGTTAGTCAGAGCATTATACATCTTTGGTTAGAGTAATTTCTGGTGTCCAGTATAAGTTAATAAAAGTAATAACAAAACAGCAAATTTTAGAAAACAAGTTTACCAAAAGGACATCAAGGGGTTACCATACAAAAAGTATGTTCAACAATTTTTCACCCTGTATACAATAAACTGTTAACTCCTAAGTGAAGACTAGAACTTTGTGAAAAAATTAACATGACAGGCAAATTAGAATGAGATTGATAATACATGTTAAATTTTCTTGATACACAGATGTCCATTGAATCATTAGATAAAAAGTTAAAGATGATTTACACATTAGTGGAATATTTGGAAACCAGTGGAAATATGAGGCTGATCAAACAACAGTGTGCAAGATATTCACAGAATAAGGTTAGTTTAAAAATATTGTCCTTTCATCCGTCCATCTGTCTTTCAGTGTATTTGTCAGTCAGTCAGTAGCACATAGTTTCCATTAAAATAAATGTTCATAGTCCACTCTCAAACCTAGGCCAAAGTGAAATATACTTGGCAGAAATGATGTATGTAAGGAGTCATAGTTTCAATTGAAATCCCATGGAAATTAAATTTTTCATTTTTTCTTCTGATTGATTGATTGATTGTTGCTTGCTTAATGTCTAGTGCCAATCATTACATGCCAATCCAGGATAAGAAATTTGGACTACTACTGGAATACAATGGAATGATTGATAGAGGCAGAAATTTTACCTTGCACCAAGCTACCTACAGACCCCTATAGAGTTATTGCAAGGGTTCTTTAATATGCAGAGAGCCTCGCACCCTCTCTACATTAGGAATCAGATTAGAAGTTCTGATTTTGAAAATACAGGGTGAATTGATTATGATTGGAAGAAACTCTATAAATGTTTTGATTAAGCACAAGCATGCATGAGTAGGTCTGTTGTTTTTCATCTTGCTGCAGCATTTTTTATGATGTTTTTTTCATAATTAATTTAATTTAAATCTGAAATGACAGGTAAGATATTTGTGAGAAAAACTATTTGTATTTCATTCTATCATTTCAGGGATTACTGGTTTACACCTTTAAATTACTGGTAGATCCTATTTTATTTACAGAAATGAACGGTAGGTAACTTAAAATGGACCAGTTTTTAGTGTAAATAATTTGTATTTTTTATTTCCAAGATTAAAGGTTAGAAAGGTAAATTGATTTGACTATTAGTATTATATACTGTCTTTAAAGTTTGATTTGATTGAAAAAGAAATTGTTACAGCTTCAAATTGCAAATGGCCTAGCAAGAAATTTAGAAAATAAATGGGTGATTAATATCTTCAAGTGACACATAACTGATCAGTTGTTAACCAATAGTTGCATCTTTGAAAATACCATTGTGATAATTATAAGGAGATGTGGTATGATTGCCATTGAGACTATCCTGAAAGACAAAAGAACAAAGATGAAGATTTTGTCTTTGTGCAGATTAGCATGTACATGACATATTATTACCACTATTTCTAATGCTGTGTATTATATTGACAGGAACTACAATGATTTCTTAGCATTTATTGATAATCTTTGGGAGGTCTGTAGTTTATTATGGTGAATTGCCTTGCGTGACCAACAGTGACGCAGTTGTCTTAAACTGACCTGAGTGATATTTCTTATCAGTCACAAATTTTTAACAAGATAGGATGATACTAATACCTACATGTACAAATGTACTTGTATTTCAAATGTAGGTTGACCTGTAGTCTTTAACAACTTATATTGACAAATCAATTGGTTTAAAAAACTTGAAAATTGGATTATAATTATGAACACCACAACGATTTGAAAAGATATGTGACACTATTTTAAATTCAAAAGGGTTCAGATTGAAACCTAAGTAAGGTCTGTTATGATTAGGTACAATTCAAGATCATTATAGCTGATAAAATTTGACACTGTCAAGGATTGTATATAATTCAATTATAGCCTTTGTATGAGGTCGATACAAGGATATATTGACCTGAAAGAAGTATATTGACTGAGGCCGAAGTCGATATACTTCTTTGGGTCGATATATCCTGTATTGACCTCATACATAGGCTATAATTGTTATATTATTAATTTCCGACCATATTTGTATCAAAATCGTCATTTGATTTTGTTGGAATTTTAAAGATATCATATTGTCTCCTAGATAATAACAACATATTAGTTGTTATTTCATTTACTTTTTATGTTGTTTTTTTTTTACATCTTATGTATTTGAAGATTTTTTTTCTTCAAATAATCGATCATAGATAATTTTTTATAAATCTTTTAACAATATCATGAAATTCATTACATGACGTCACAAAGTATATCGGTTTTTAGATATTCTAAAAATAACCGTGCAATATGCTTTTTGCTATGCAATATGCTTTTTGCTATCCGCCGTTTTCTAAATACCTTCGAAAATATAGTTTAACATGTGACTATCCCTGAACGAATCAAATTAGTTAAAATAAACGAATTAATACTATTTATTGTATATAGTTGAGGTGTAAGGTGAGAGGTAAGCTGGTACATGTATAAGGAAGTAGAAACTTAACTATTTAAAATACAATTTTTGATTCAGCCATGCTGGATCTATGCGATCACTCTGGTTTTGGAGATGGTGCAGAATACTAATTAAGTTGAAGACATATCATGAAACCAATTATGTGTTTTTATGACTTGCAGAAACTTTCTACACCATTTTAATCATCAACTGCAAACTATTGACATGTTATTTGCCCTTAAATTAAGAAAAGATTGGTCGAATAGTGACTTTATTTTAGATATACACTTGCATATTTCCTTTCTTAATCAAAATTTATGATGATTTACTATTTATGAATTAATTTGAATAAAGTATTTGTTCATCAATTGAATCAGTTAATAAGAATTTTGAAAGTATTATATTAGTATCTTGTGCTTGTTTAAATTATTGTTCAATGAAATGTAGGTCAACATATGTATCAATATATCTAAGTTGATTCCCACACTTTTTTGAAATGGTATTACTCCAATTCTTTCCATAGGCAAGTAAGAGTCAGAATGATTATTAACTGTCATGATTTTCAAATAAGTATTAATTAGAAACAACCCCAGGCTTAATTCGAAACAGTTGATATATCATGACCTGTTACATAAATAAATAGACACAATTTATTACACACCTAACTGAATACACACATTCTTGACCTCAATAGTAAACCTACAAATGTATTATTTATGTTGATCTACACTACATTAAAATATTCTGTTAATTTTGCTAGCTAGCTGAATAATTAATCTGATGTGTTTTTTTCAAAGAAAATACTTAAAATTAAAAAAAAAAATATGTATAAAAAATGCAAGCAAATTTTATTTTACTTGTAAAATCAGTGCCATTATCATCTGACATAAGTCAATAATCAAGTTCTAATTAATTAGTTACAATTATCAGAAATTTGGTTGAAATATTAAATAAAATTGCATAACTCTTATCTGAGCATTTTCTGCAATAAAATTTATTTGTTTGTTTTACATTTATATCCCATTATATTGCTATTTAACAGTAATTGGAAATATCTCAGCATTAGGTATTTGTACATTCAGATTTGAATACAGGAAATGTATTTTTTCTTAATGAAGAATGAACACCAGTCTAGATAAAAATAGTTATTATTTTTTTTAATTTTTGTTGTTGAGAAAGTGCATTTATAAGGCCTCTTTCTGGAAATTATTAAACCTGTCATTTTTAATGGCATATAAAAATTATATTACTTGTTTGACGATTTTCCTTTCCATTCTTGTCAAAAATAAAATCTGACAGAGTCTAAAATTGAAAGATCAATATATATATCTATATTTGCATCAATATTGCGAAATTCCCTACCTTTTGACAATAACATAGAAATTTTACAGTAAGCAGGTAAGATTGGAAATGAAAAGAGAAAAAAATTTAGAAAAAAGTATGGTAAGAAAGAATATGAGACTAGCTATGAATATGGCTGGATCACAACATCAACGATGCTTTGATTTATTTAGCAACTGCTTAATTACAAAATTAATATAGAACTGAAGAAGAAAATTCAGAAACCAATATTTCACAGGAATATACGGATAGGGTTGGTAGTGGTGTCAAGGTATTATTGTTCCTCCTAACAGAAGTTCATCTGGTAACTTTGTTATAAACAATGCTAAAATATCTGTTATTATTGGAACAAATATTCTATACCCTTTATTTCATAAGGAACAAATACTTCAACATTTGTTCCAGTGGAAATAATATTTGACAGCATCTGGTTTCTTCTTTTCTTTATTATTAGAAACAATCTAGACATGAATTTAACCGTGTGCCACTTGCTGGTATGTAAATAATGTGTCATGTTTTAAGGTTATTTATATGTCATTAAAAAGTAATACAGCATCACAGTTGAAATAATTGAAGTTGGGCTGTTGTAGTTCCTGTCTATACTTCCATAGGGTAAAATAGAATTAGTTTCTATTTTCAGTAATTGATGTCAGATTTGTTTTCAGCTCAATTTTTGTTGATCAAGAAAATGAACTGGTTCAAGCTTACCCTATGGAATAACTTGTTCAAGCTAACCCTATGGAATAATTTGTTCAAGCTAACCCTATGGAACAACTTATGCAAGCTAACCCCATGCAATAAATTTTTAAAAATAAACCAATGGAAACAACTTGTTCAAGCTTACCCCATGAAACAACTTGTTCAAGCTAACCCTATGGAAACATATTGTTCAATCTAACCCCATGGAACAACTTGTTCAAACTAACCCCATGGAAACAACTTGTTCAAGCTAAGCACATGGAAACAATTTGTTAAAGTTAATCCTATGAAACATCTGGTGTTAAATTCCAAGACAAATCAAATTTTAAGTAAACCAGAAAATTAAGAACAAAAAAAAAAGTTTTACAGAAAATCTTTAACCTTATATATATGATACTTTAAATAATATTTCAGCTGAACTAGGAAATTCACTATTAAATTCTCCAAATGATGTAATATTCTTGGTAAAGGAGGTAAAATACATTAAATTTGTTTTATTGCATTTGTGTCAACTTTCATTCTCCAGGTAATGTTGTGAGTTTCAAAGTTTGAAAAAGTGAGAATGCTATAAATGTCAATATTGGCCTTACAATTCTACATTTTTTGGTTATTATTATTATCAGATAGGTGTATATAAAAGTAAAAAAATAAATATTTTTTTGAAATGGCACATTAATCAATAATTACATCATTATTGTGATCTTTTAATTTTAAAAATGTTGTTATTGCCAGTGAGTTAATTATATGTATATGCTTTTTATTTATTATTTTTGAGATATGAAAGTTGACACTCATGTATGTTGTTAATGATGTTTATGTTATCATTTCATTAATTTAGA